AACATGATTAATATTGGATTCCTTGTGTTCAATTTTGGTGGTTACATAGGGTGCTGTTAACTGAATTTGATGTAAAGAAAAATTTGATGGTTATTTATTATTTTTATGCCCCCTATGCCTTGTCCATCTGTCTGTCGGTAAGTATGTACGTCCCAAAATAAGTTTCGTTTAGTTTGCCTCAATCAAATGTTATGAAACTTATACACAATGCTTATTACCACAAAACACAGATCAATTTCAAATTTGGGTGGCGTTTCTTCTACTGTTCTAAAGTGATGACCCTTTATAAATAGAAAAATTGCTGAATTTTTAGTGTCCATTCTCTAACTTTAGTTTGCCTCAACCAAATGTTAGGAAGCAACTAGAACACACCTGGGACATAGTGAGTAGTGACTGAATTATAGCACCTTTTTAGCCCGAATTTATTAGTATTCGTATTGCCATCTGATAAAGTCATACTGATTATCAGATGCACAGTTTTCTCTGCTTTCAAAATCTTTCTGTTTAGACACGTCCTGGTTTTCTTACTACAACCGGGAATGTTGGTTTATGCTGTTGAGAGTGGACATGGACATATTTTGCAGAGAGAATATTCAACATCTTTGAAATTGCTTTGTCAAATTTGTTTCAGGAATCCAAGTATGTCCTTATCGGTTTTCTGTTTGTTGCCATAGCACCTGGGGGACCTTGTCCCTTACTTTGTATATGATTGTTTTTATTTTGCAATTTTTATGCCCTCGCACAATGCTTATTACCACAAAACACAGATCAAGTTTGAATTGTGGTGGCGTCACTTTGACCGTTCTAGAGTTATGCCCCTTTACAAATGGAAAAATTGCTGAATTTTTCATTTCCGTTCTCTAACTTAAGTTAGCCTCAACCAAATGTTATGAAACTTATACACAATGCTTATTACTACAAAATACAGATCAAGTTTGATTTTTGGTGGCGTCACTTTTACTGTTCTAGAGTTGTGCTCCTTTACAAAAGGAAAAATTGCTGAATTTTTCGTTTCCATTCTCTAACTTAAGTTTGCCTCAACCAAATGTTATGAAACTTATACACAATACTTATTACTACAAAACTCAGAGTCTCTTTTCACAAAAAATCTTAAGAGTAAAAATATTCGCAAGTCATACACAGTTCAATAAAACTTACGATCAGTTATAATCGTAAGATTTTTTGTGAAAAGAGTAGCAGGTCAATAACAAATTTGGGTAGCATCACTTTTACTGTTCTTCAGTTATGCCCTTTATAACTTTATATGATATGCAAGCGGGGGCATCATCTGTGTCCCATGGACACATTCCCCATTTATTTATACTTTAAGGCTGAGCGAATCGGGTGAGTGTGTGTTCATATGTTTTATTGCATTGTACTGATTGTTTTGAGGAAGGTTAACTTTCTGGTAGTAAAACCCATCACGTCCAGGCTGAGAAACTGGGTAGGCAAAAGCTCACATTAAATCTGTACCGATATAGTGCGTTAAATGTCCTCCTTTACACCAAAAACAGTGCAAACTTTCTTTAGTTTTCATAATATTATCAAATTATATCTGTTCAGAAAAAGAGGAATTTTTTCTATGAAAATCTTTTGTAACTTTGAATTTCAGTAGGAAACATTCTTAAACAAAGGACCATTTTGATATTACTCAATACTGTTCTTCAGCTTATCATAAAACACTTTCCAGGAAAGTGTTTTATGATAAGCTGAAGAACAGTGTTATGAAAAAATTCCAGTATCGTTCATACTGAAGAACAATTTTGAAAGTGCTGTTTCTTTGATAGTGGGATTTATTTTTGTGAGTGTACATCCACCACCATTTACCCTTATCTCAAATTATATTCATTTGGTTGGTCAGGAAATTGTTTCAAATGATTGAATCATCAATCAAAAATCAGTTGTTCAAAATTCATACTGGTTTGGCAAATGAATGGTGGGATAAGCATTTTTCCAACAATTCACTTGTTTTTGAAATAATGATTGCAATCGCAGGGAATATTTGCTGACTTTCGTCATGTTTAAATTCCATAGATCATGATAAACTTTTAAAGAAATTCACACTATCAAAGCTGTTAGATAATGACATTTAAATGAAATCAAATTGAAAATAGATTTGCCGAAATTAAAACAACTGCAGATGTAAATGTTACTATGTCTGTCAGCATAGGGTTAGATTCCGAGAGATCTTGGTTTCATTTTGAACGATTGGAGGAAATTAATATTCATTTTGTCTATTGATTTGTCATTATGAAACATTTATTGTGGTACTAACTGGGGAATGATGTGGAGTTACAAGTACTAGGAGGAATTTTTATAAAAGTGCATGATATCACAGAGAAATTAATTTTGCATTTCATTAGTCGGCTTTAAACATGTTTAAAGTACATATTGTTTTCTCATTGCAAATAGACATAACACTGTGAGAATTCTTTGATTTATCAATTTATCTTTTTATTTCTAGAAAGATGACTTTCAGGTCAATAGAAGCAAAATTATTTTGATTTCAAAGTCCATGATGATAAAATCAATGAAAAGATTAGTAGAAATTTGATTGACATGAAATTAAATATATAGATATGAAAATAAGAAGATGTGGTATGATTGCCAATGAAACTGTGTTGAAAAAAATTGAAAACAACACGTTTAATAATTTCATGCGTCCGAAGCGCTTTTCTGGATTTACCTTCATCAGGAAAGCTCAATGCCAAACATTTGAAATCCGAGGGATGTATAAGTACCGAAACAGTTGAACTCTCCACAAGAGACAAATGACACAGACATTAACAACTATAGGTCACCACACGGCCTTCAACAATGAGTAAAACCTATACCCCTTAGTCGACTCTGAAAGTTTGGCAGATACATTTTATTCTTACAATAATTTTATACAAAAAAATTGTTAATACAAAAATAAGTGGATTCTTCCATTTTTGCCCATTCATAGTGAAAATGGGCACAAAGTTGATAAAATATCTAGATGTGCCCTGCATATGGAGTTGACATGCCATTTCATTTCTTTCACCACATAAAGATAGAACTTGCACAGTCAATACTTTGGAAAATTGAGTTAAACTTTTAAAATTTACAGCCCTATTTTCAGAGATATGTGTAATTACTGCTAATGTATTTAGTTTTTATGTACCAGAATTTCTCCTACAATTATAATGCCCCCGCCGTAGCTATGGGGGCATTAAGTTTTACCCTTGTCCGTCTGTACATCCCAAAATTGGTTTCCGTTCTCTAACTTGAGTTTGCCTCAACCAAATATTATGGAACTTATACACATTGCTTATTACCACAACACACAGATCAGGTTTGAATTTTGGTGGCGTCACCTCAACCGTTCTAGAGTTATGCCCCTTTATAAATGGAAAAATTGAAAAAATTTTAGTTTCCGTTCTCTAACTTAAGTTTGCCTAAGCCAAATAATATGAAACTTATACACAATGCTTATTACCACAAAACACAGATAAGTTTGAATTTTGGTGGCGTCACTTTTACCATTCTAGAGTTATGCCCCTTTACAAATGGAAAAATTGCAAAATTTTTAGTTTCCGTTCTCTTACTTAAGTTTGCCTCAACCAAATGTTATGAAACTTATACACAATGCTTATAACCGCAAAACACATATCAAGTTTGAATTTTGGTGGTGTCACTTTAACCGTTCTAGAGTTATGCCCCTTTTTAAATGGAAAAATTGCAAAATTTTTATTTTCTTCTAAATATCAAGTAATTTTTAAAATTGGAGTTATCTTCCTTTGTCCATGATTATAGTTGAATCAACTACAATCAATGCTTTATACAATGCAATGTTTAATTTTGACTTCCACTGATAAAACACAGATAAAGTTGAATTTGGGTAGTGTCACTTAAACCATTACTTAACCCTTTGTAAATCGAAAGATTGCAAAATTTTTAGTTTCCATTCTGTAACTTAAATTTGCCCCAACCAAACATTATGAAACCTATACAAATTTTTTTGTTTCCGTTTTCTAACTTTAGTTTGCCTCAACCAAATGTAATGAAACTTATACACTATATTTATTACTACATAATACAGATTAAGTACGAAATTAGGTGGCGACACTTTTACCATTCTTGAGTTTTGTCCCTTTATAAACATAAAAATTGCTGAATTTTTTAGTTTGTCTCAACCAAATGTTATAAAACTTATACACAACCGTTCTAGAGTTATGCGTGTTTACAAATAGAAAAATTGCTGAATTTTTAGTTTCTGTTCTCTACTTAAGTTAGCCTCAACCAAATGTTATGAGACTTACACACAGTGCTTATTACCACAAAACTCAGATCAAGTTCAAATTTGGGTAGCGTCACTTTTACCATTCTTCAGTTATGTCCCTTTATAACTATATGATATGCAAGCGGGGGCATCATCTGTGTCCACATGTGGACACTATCCACATTTTTGCTCTTTATTTCTCAAAAAGTTGCCAAGATATATCATAGTATTTATATATCAAATCTCCTCCATTTTTTCTTCTACCAGAACATTTCAAGCAAATTTCTTGTGAGTGAATTTTAAAAGCGACAGATGACTGAGATTGCATATTAGCTTGTAGCATGGACAAACTTAGAAATATTTTGATTTACAAGACATTGCTTGATTGTGTCTTGTTGAAAGCATGACCATTGTTCTGAAGCATGGTGTTATTGGCTGCTTTCATTGTCAGGAACATCCATCTCTTTGTAACTGATCTCCTTGTAATTACTGTGTAGCCTGACTTGCTCCTGGGAAAAATCTTTTCTTTCCAAATAGTCCAGACCAGCATCTGTAACTTGACAGCTCTATTAATTATTGGATGCATGATGAGGCCATACTATTTTTTTAAAAATTTTACACTGTAGTGGCTCAATTCATTTGCTGGAATGTATACCTCTATAAAAAATGTGTTTTTCATCCTATAATAATTTCCCTCACTTTCCTAATGTGATCAGATATTTTGACTTGTTAATAATGGCTTATCATCTCATTTTAGGTATTCACAAGATGAAATTGAAAAGAAAGTGTCCATGTTTAGAACCATGTTGATCAATAAAGAAGGTGTGACTGAGGGAGCACTTGACAAAGATGAACATGGACGACCAATGTAAGTATATAAAACTCAGCTACCAGATTACACTATGAGGCAAATCAAATATATGTATGCAGTTGGGGAAAATACTTGTATGGTATTCAAATCTTACACCTGGCCTGAAGGGACAGTGTAGCCAATTTGTTAAGTTTATGCTTGTGGTCCTGTCTGGTGTTGTTTATATTTTTCTCCAAATTTTCTGAATCAACTATGCAAACTTGGCAATGATTATCTTATGATGTAAAGTATTAAAATCATATCGTGATATTCCTGATGATCAAATAACATAACTAGAGCTAAAAATAGAACAAATGGGTGAAATCAATAAAAATTCGTTCAGGGGGAAAAATGGTGTATTGATGACTTCTTGGAAACTTGTTTGAACATTTAGTTTATTGAGTATCAATTTTCACATATTTCATCTATATAGCTTTGGTACAATTTTTTGCAGTAAAATTAAGGCTTTAACTATGAATAAACTTCAAACTTACTTTTGTACCACAATTATTTTAAATTGGAACCCAAAAATAAATATTCTTGACAATATTCAATCTTTACTGTCAAATTGGATGGAATGGGTACATTTGTAGTTGATGAATATGTAAAAATCATTGACAAAAGAACTTGTGTAGGAAGCCACTTTGTGTAAAATTGTATCCATCAAAGAAATGTCGAATCCCTGGAAAAATTCAGAAAGAAATGGAATTAAATAGTGCATAGAGAATTGTCCACCTACACGTACCTAACTATAGTTATTCTGAGAAGGAAAAACCAATTTAATATTAGATAATTTGTAGATTCTGTAAATTATACTGCTATTTTAGTCCCTAGCAGTAGGATCTATAAAAAATTGGCCATGTAGATCATATTTTAAGGCTTGGAGCAGTTGTTGTGAGATCAGATGGTCTGTCTACAAAATCACTGATCTTTCTGGGCTTTGCCATCATGGCATGTCTGAGAGAATAGTAAACCAGGAAACCTTGATTTGAATTTATATTTGAATGGAAGTTATGACCACAGAGAGGCTATCAAACTGACAACATGTAACCTGATTGAATTTTATGTCCATCCATAGATTGCAGATTGAATTTTATGGTTGAATGATGATTACATGACTTGAGATTAAAGAGAGAAAACAATTGATTCTTTACACCAAATAGAGAAATACATTGTTGAATAAAAAATAATGCAGTGTTAAATATTGTAGAAATATATTTGATGGTTTAAATTTGTGTGCAGTTTTCATGTAATTCAAATAAAGTAGACAAGGTGTGAAAATTTCTTGAAGAAATGTACCTCCTATATATATACATGTACATGTATAGCTTTTGAGATCTTTTGTAACATAGAAGAGGTTAGAAAGATTAAGATAGCTACGATTTAAAAAAATGTTTAATATAAAAATAAGAAGATGTGGTATGATTGCCAATGAGACAAATCTGCACAAGAGACCAAAAAATGACACAGAAATTAACAACTATAGGTCACCATACGGCCTTCAACAATGAGCACTTTATATGTAGGCCTTATTGCTGGTCATATATATATTTTATCAAAGTGGAATAAGCTATGATTTTGACAGCATAAATTTAAAAATTAAAGTATGAAAATAGGGAGATGGGTTATAATGAGTGCCAATGGGATGACTATCAACAAGAATCTGAATGAAATGCATGTACGGTAAGCAACTACAGGTCACTGTACAACCTTCAAAAATTTGCAAAACCCTTGCCCTATACTTACCCTATAGTTTAATGTGATACAATTCAAATGAGAAAAACAACAGCCTGATATATACCATAAACAGGAACAAAAAAAATCTCAAATAAGGCAAATAGTAATCACAACCACAACCATTGTCATTGAATTACAGGCTCCTGACTTAGTACAGGCATATACAGAATGTCAAACCTGCTTGTGAGCACTCAACCTTATGTTTTTTCTATCAAGGAAATCATGATAGGAATAACAAGCTCTGGAATATCGTATCGACTGGGAGATATAAACTCTGTATGCAGGCACTGCTGGAATGTTGCTACATAGAAATAGAAAGTTCGCAATTGGGAAGCAGAAATCATTTCTCTTGTCGTAAAGTTTTGTTTTCAACCAACCAACAATGTCAATTTCTAGATGCAAGTCAAGATATGAGAGAGCCTCAACTGTATCTGTTGTATTATTTATCTCAAGTTCGATGGGATAGATGCGTTTAATAAGTTGACCTCATTTTGGTCCATGTGACCTATGATTTTACCTCCGTTGATGATGGCTTGAGCATATATGCTCAGTATGTTCAGTTATTGAACAAGAGAAATTTCACAGCAGTGTCTAATGACTTTAACCCTAATACAAGCAGTTAATGTTGATTCTTTATAATGATTCTATTCTTTGTGCATTGTTTTCTATCAATATTTTGTAATTCAGATAAATGTTATAGTATGTAAAGAGTTTGAGTCAATTCTGCTGTCATGAATTATATGCAGCTGATGCTTCTTTAAGATTTAGCCGCCCCATTAACCATTTTTCAAATAAATACAAGAAAAAAGAGAAATGTGTGGTATAATTTATAACAATTACAATATTTATGCCCCTGCCAGGGCAGAGGGGGATTTAAGTGTTACCCTTTCTGTCTGTCCGTCCGTCTGTCTCAGAATTAGTTTCCATTCTATAACTTTTAATTTGCATCATCAAATGTTATGAAAATTATACACAATGCTTATTTGACCACAAAACACAGATCAAGTTCCAATTGGGGTTGTATCATTTTACCGTTCTTTAGTTATGTCCCTTTATAACATTATATGCAAGCGGGAGCATCATCTGTGTCCCATGGACTCTTTCTACATTTATTTTTTGGAAGGCCATTGTTTTGTCCTTGGAAAGACTTTAATCTATTTTCCAATTTTGTCTGTGACGCATACAGTATATCTGTATACACAATGTACCTGTGGCTCTTGTTGTTACTAGACTTTGTTATTTCATAGAAAACAAAAGTCTAGTTAGATTATTTCAAGTCTTCTCTCCTTGTAATTAAGTATGACTTTTGATTGATTGTACAAAGCAATAGGATTATATGTTCTCAGATTGGTGGTAAATTAATTATAAGGAAAGATAAGATCTTTCAGAGCTTTTGCTGGTGGCTTTATCTCAAGGCTGAGTGTTTCATTCAACTTTGTGATAAAAATCATTTCGTGATAATATCGCATTAGGTTTGTCTGTAGCTGTGTTGATTGCATACCTTGTTTTAACACATCCTAAAAAAGAAATCCATTGCAAAAAGTGAGAGTGAAAAAAGAATGCATCACTTTTTGGATTCCCGAACTTTGCAGGTAAAATTTCAGTTAGCAAACTATGCTGAACAATTGAAGAAATGCAAACATTTATACTAAAAAGAATTTCCATACAAAGGGCAGTATTTCAACCATCATATGTTTCCTATTAGCAAAAATTATTCAATGGTTTTTGATGCAAATAAAGACAGCTAGAAATGTATGTGCAATGAATTAATTTATATTTAATTTGAAACATGAAATATTTTTAAACTTGAAAAAAAAAAGAATTGTTAACCCAAATATGATTTTTTTCTCTTGTCACACAATTTCAACTTTTACATTGTTTATGTCAAAAAGAAAGAATTTTAGAACACACATAATATTTATCAAAATTTTAATTTTATGTTGCCATTTCTAGGTTTTTACAAGTGTCTAAATGAAAGAGTATAACAATAAGAAGATGTTGTATGATTGCCGTTGAGACCAAATTTTTGAACAAGGATTTTAACAATCAATAGGTCACTGTATGGCCTTAAAAATTAAGCAAAACTCATACCATATATATAATTATATATATTTCGACTCTTCAAAATTCAAGAGTCAATCTTAAATTGAGGTAAATTATATGGCCTTCCAAATACCGTTTCGATTCCTAACATCACTGAAGAAACATTAATTGTCGAAATCTGGATATGGTGTACAAATTTTTGCACCTCATGTTTGCTGTATACCATCTTTTCCGCAAGTTTATTGTTTTCTGTTTGGTATTAAATTAATAATTAAGATGCATTTTGTTACATCTGGTGATCCGTTTATTTGGCAATCGCCATGGCAGTCAGCAGGGTTTAAGAACATCCGTTGTTGGACCTGCTAGTCAAATGCATTTTGTTAAAATATGCTTTTTCACTTTTTTGGTCTTTTGGAAAATGTTGTTTGTGCTGTATTTAGACCCCTCTACCAAGAAATTTATTTTGCATGCGCACGTATAAAAATTGCGGTTTTTATCCAACGCAATCATATTGATTGAATGTTGTTTTCAATTAAGACTTGTTTATAATTAATTATATATATATATATATAGTAAGCTATAGAAGGCCCCCTTATGACAAAATATGACACAAATCAACAGCTTGAATTTTGCAAAACACAGCAAACGATAAAAAAACAACCAATAAGACAGACAGCAACCAATGACAACCACTGAATCACAATGTTTAAAACATTTGTCATTTCAAAAGATACCTTTAACCAGCAGTGGTGTATTTATTTTTGAAATGGTCTCAAAAAAAGGTATGAAATTTAATGATATATCTCATTGTTGAGCCTGACAAATTTATTTTGTGACTGCGAGACATAGCATTCCTACATTCCGTCAGTGGCTTCAACATTTATGTTCAGTCTGTGGTTCAAGTTTTTTTTAGACATCGATAACTTTGTAAAACCTACATGGAATTTGATGAAATCTGGACAGAAGCTTGTTTATGACCAGTCTAAAAGACAGTACCCAGAGCGAAATTTAGAAAATATTTATTTACATTTTTCCGTATTTTACTGATAAATGGACATAGTTTTTTTTTACAGTTAACAAGTAGATGCAGTCTGGGGTTAAAGTTTGTTACACATCAATTACTTTGTCAAACCTCCATAGAGTTTTGTGAAACTCTGGCTGAAGGTTTTTAATGTTTAACATACGATGAAGATTGAAGACTCAAGTAGATATGTCATCGGTTGCTAGTCACGCCTAAA